GACCCCTTATACCAGTAGGACTGAACATTTCTCACTGGTGTTTACTGAATGAACAAATAAGATTTTCAGGGTGCCAGGTTCAAAAGAAGGGCTAGAGAGTGGTCTAAAAGGGGGAGAGATGTTTTCTGACATTTAACACCTGTTACTGCTGGGGTATCTATATACATGCTCCAGGGTGGAGTGGGGATGATTTAGAGAGGCTCTGAGAGCCACTCTAATTAAAGTGACCACAGCACCACATGTAGTCCGTCCCATGCTTTAAAATGGCGGCAGGGACACTTTGACTAAAATTGATTTGATGAGCCTTAGTTAAAGCGCCCCTGCCACGATTTTGAAATGCAGGGATGCTAAATACATGTAACGTGGAGGCTGCTGATGCATGCTAATTAGCATGCTCCAGCAGACTTGCAGCAGACTCGATTAATTAAGTCTGCTCTAATGCTTGCTAATTAGCACATGTCAGAGCAGAGGTCTGTCACATGTGCCCCTGGTGTCTGTCCGACCTTCCATGTGGCCAGTCCTATATCCCTACACATCTGCCTGGCCACAACACAGAAATACTGAGCATGCTCAATAACAATCTATAGGAAATGATATAAAGTGAAACAAGATTTAGGCTTCAATCCTAAAAATTATGATTATTGGTTATACATTAAATAAATATAATGATAAAAACCTTCCAAAGATTATTCAACGTGATTTTTTGCTGCATGTATATACAGGAATATTACATAGTGTACCAACTTGCATTCATTTGAACATTTGTGCCAAGCAATTTCTGACAACCATCTGCTCAAACTTCACTTCTTTTTCTTAATCAGTCCAGTGAAAATTAAAAGCAACAATAAAAATTTCTGCAGAGACAGTGGAAGTGATAAAGTTGTTCATATTTTAGCATTTCATTTACCATGCACTCACATATGTTCTATCTACTGTTTCTGAACGATCAAACAAACTGAAAGCATGGATTCTTCAAACTATGTGTGAACTTATGTAATAAAAGAATATATTGAAATTCTGAAAAGAGACAGCTGGAATGTTTTAAAAACCCAACTAAGAACAGCTTCAAGGATCTCAGCTCAGTTTCTTCAATGAGAACAGAAGTTTAAAATAATCAAACTGTTTTGTGGAAGGTAAGTCACTTGTACAAAGTAGAATTTGTTATCTTTTTGCTTTCTAAAACCTAAACTTTGAAAATTTTATTTAAAAAACTAAAATACAATTTAGATCACAAAATCAAGAATTAAAAAGTAGTGCCAACTTTATGTTTGCTGGATCCTAATTCTGTTCTCTTGTGCATATATATGCATTTTCATATAGCCTGTCCTGACGCACTATTTTTCACCATACTATTTCACATATTTTTTCACATACTTTTTGCACATTAGCTTATGTGCAATGTTTTCACATATAATTTTTTCACGCAGAATCCTGGTCCCTGGCCCCTTCAAGTATAATGAAATGAATCAGCTATATGTAGACAATGAGGCTGTTTGCTTGTAAGACCCTTGCCTTAGTTGTAGGTAAGTGAGCTTGCACTAGGCTATATGCTGTTGCAGCCAGACTACCACTGGTATCTGAGCCAGCTAATTTAAAGCTAGCTTGGATATCTTTACAGTGCACTGCATCCTGTAGTATAGACCCACCATCTATAACCAGGTTCCCTGCACAGTGTCAAGCAAGTCACCTCATCCATAATAGTAATATTACAGGAATATTCACACCATCTTGCACCACAGAGGTGTTGTGAAGGTAAATGCATTTATGCTTGTAAGGCTCATATACTATGGAGATGAGCATCCTCAAAAAGCCATGAAGAAATGAATAATTCTAGATTTAATGCAGAGTCTGGGCAGCAAGCAGTAAACATAGCCTGAGGCTATCCACTGAATAATGAGACTGAATTGAATAGCTATCTCATTTACTGAGCAGTACCCAATGTATTTGCTGAATGAAACAGGGTCTTTTTGAAAAAATGTATCTGATCACGTAGCTAAAGATTATTATATAGTTAGGAACCTACCTAAATTACAGCAGAAATGCACTGAGTAGTGGCTCCTTTAATTTTGCTGTTTTTGCCATGTGTTCCCCCTCACCCCCACTGCTGATTGGCAGAGGAACCCTGTTGGCCCTGCTGCTCGCCACTCACTGCTGATTGGCCAGGAGGAAAAAAAAAGCAGTTTTAAATATGTCACGGTTTTTGCCTCCCAACCAATCAGCAGCAAGTAGCAGGGCCATCGGGAAGCAAGAACTGCAGCATTTTTAAAACTGCAGTTTTTGCCTCCCAGCCAATCAGCCATAAGTAGTGGGGCTGCCAGGACCCCTCCACCAATTAAATTAATTGAACTAAACTAATTAAAGCACCTGGAGAACCTTGTGTATCAGTATCCCTGAGCTTCAAAATGGCAGTGGGGGTGCTTTGTCTGAAGCTCATTGAAAAAGCTTTAGACAAAGTGCCCCCACCACCATTTTGAAGCACAGGGACACTGATACATGAAACGTGGGAGGCTGCTCGACTGCAGTAATTGCCACGCTCCAGCAGACTTGAATAATTAAGTCTGCTCCAATGCTGTAACGGGAAGAGAGCGGGGCAGGAGAAAAGCCCCACGAGCTGTGAGCAGGAAGCACTTACCACAGGTATGGAGGCAAGCCCACTGGAGCATGGAGTGTGCCACCACGTTTGTGCAGCATGTGCTCCCTCCAGATTGGTAGAGGGACCACACGGACGGGTATTTCTAGCACCAGAGAGGGGGAGCCATGGGAGGACTGCAACTGGTAGAAGAAAGATTCTGAAGGAACTGCTCCAGGACAGCTGGGAGGAGACTGAGGTGGCAGAGACAGAAGCCAGGACTACTCCAAGCACACACATCTTAATTGAGGAACTGGGAGCCTGTAATTAATTGATTTAAGAACGTTCCCAGGGAACCCAAATGAAGAAGCTTAACTCATAAATCTCATTCGTTATACTAGCAAGTAACAGCCAGTGGCACCGTCAGCCGATGAAAGATCCAGGCCCAGATGTGTAATCCTGGAGGTGGTGAGGGTAGGTTGTAAGGAGAGGAGGAGCCCCACAAAGAAAGACCCCCAAGGAGACCCGACCGAGTTGTTACCCAGCCTCCATCCAACTCCCAAGGGTTAAGACTATACATCAAGACATGGTAGGTGAGAGAAGAAAATCTGAGGTTGGTAGTGATAGTATTATCCGATTTTCCCCAGGGCTTATCCAAGTAAAGTGTCAGGCAGGTGGGGACCATGGCCTTATAGCACCTATCCCCAGCAGATGCACTGGAATTACAGCAGATCGGAGCAGCCTCACAGTGATCAAATTAAGACTGCAAAGCAAAAAAATGGGTGTTGAAGGTATCTGGGTTACTTAAGTGACAGAATAAGTAGATCGCAACTTTCATTCTGGCATTTCCTAATTTTTGAATGCTTCCTCCTGAAACCTGTGTGTGTGTGTTTGTACCTGCAGCAATTAAAATCAGGAAAAAGGAGTTCTCCCTACAGTAGTCAAGGAAGAGGTGGAGAACAGCTTATGCTTACTTAGACCAGGAAGAACCACAACTCCACAAATATCTAACAAATACTTATGCTTTCGCTAATGTTAGACCTTTTAGAAAATTTACCAGTGCAAAAACAAACTTACAAAGATATCTCCAGAGGTAACTAAAACCAACTAGTTATGTTGAAGACTTTTTATTTCAGACACTGGCTACAGCTCATTTGAGTGCAGAGCAACAAGCAAATAATAAGGAGCAACATTGGGCATTTTTACATCTGCTCTGGGAGTCAAAGGCACTTTAATTAAAGCTCCTCCAAGAGCCACTCTAATTAAAATGCCCAGAGCATCTTGTGTATCAGCATCTCCACACTTCAAAATGGGGGCAGGGGTATTTTATCTAAAGCTCCTCGAATGAGCTTTAGTTAAAGTGGCCCCACCACCATTTTCAAGCATGGTGATGCTGATACACAAGACGTGGAGGCTAGCTGGAATGAGGTAATTACCATGCTCCAGCAGACTTGATTAATCAAGCCTGATCTGATGCGCTGTAATTACAGAGCATCGGAGCAGCCTCCTGGCTCACGTATAGGCACCCATTATTTCTATGTGAATACATTTTATGAAAAGTTAAGCGTCATACTGGTGGTTACATTCTCATAATATACGATTTTTTTTTTGTACATATACAATGTTATGTCTCATAAAGTCATGCTGAGGTGCCATTCTCCACATGACTATGTTATCAAACTGGCATGGCAGCAGTGAAAGGATATTGTTAAATAAAAAATGAATATACTGTGACTGTCAGTTAGTGCTTGATACACTACATTTGCAAATCTGCTAGTGCATTATGGATTTTCTTTAAATTATCTAAAACATGTTCACTGCTTGTTCATTTTTTTGATTTCTGACAGCTGTCTGATTTTTTTTTCTATTCATCAGAGTTTTCCAAAAGGTGTGTGCTAAATGTAAAACAAACCAGGAAAAAAGTTACTGTATCATATCAACAGATCAACGTATTATTTTAATCTAAGCTATTTTAGCAGAAGCAACCATGTGAAATATTTTATGGACTGTCAGCTAAAAAGTTTCAGCTGAGAAAATAATTAACATCTTTGCAATTTCACATTCCTTATTTCTTCTTACCTGAGTAGATATCTCAGTAAAGCTATTTTGACTGGAAGATATTTGATAGAGGTTTCTTCATACACTGTTTATGCCTCATTAATAGCCCAAGAAATTACACTCATCTCATAATCAATCTGAAAGCAGATCTCTGCAACTGGGATGCACAAACCACTTAAGAAGGCTTTAAAGAAAAGTGAAAATTAAGCATTTACATGTAAATCCCTGTCCACATGCAATTCTACCAAACAGCTGGAGCATGTCAAATATTAAGAATATTAAGAATAAAGATTCCTGCAGGCCTATAATCATGTTCTTTCTTTTTTTTTTTTTCTTTTTCACTTGTTCTTTTGAGGGAAGGTTACTTACTTACCCAACATTTTCTGCATCTTCATCACACTCAGCCCTATATTTGCAAACTCCACATTTTGAGTGTTTTCTCTGAACTTCTGTCCCAGATCCTTCATACTCTAAATAAAACAAGGCATTGTCAATGGATAATGCAACTTTTTCATATTATGCTATGAATTTGCCTATTTTCCTTTCTATCAAAGAGAGAGTAGCTCATTGGCATAAAGATTTCATATATTTACATATCAGACATTTTTACTTGTGGTTACTTTTTCCATAAGCTAGCAACAACCAAAGTTTGAGAGAGTGATAAAAATGACAAAACAGCACAACAGAAACATTGCTTTACTGGATATTTATTGCTCCTTGTTGTTGTATCAATTGATTTCTTATTTTTCTTTTTTTATCAGGTCTCTAAATCTGACACTAATATATAAACTAGCTTGTTAGAAAAAGCTGACATTTAAACTTTATTTGGCATTAATACCATGAGGAACACGTGCTTCTTAATGCTACTGCCTAATAATTAGAGGCTTCCTAGCTAAAGAATTTAGTCATATCAGAAAATGAGAATTCTATTTTAATTGTTGCTCTCTAATTATAGTCATATTCATGTGTAGTTACTTCTTACATAAAATGTTCTTTTCTCTGTGTTCATGTGGATAGATTTTCTGCCAGCTTGTATTAGATTATATGACATTAATTTCTCATAACTACAGCCCTATTCTTTTTCATAATTAACATCATTAGTAGTACAGAACATAAGATAAGACTGAAGCATCACCCTAATAAGAAACTGATAGAAATGCAGCCTCCTTTTGAAGGTAGAGTACATCCTCAGGAGCAATCCATGTACTGCTCCTAGAAACAACTGAATTTTTCGTGTGTGCGGCAACATCACGATTTATCAATCATGGGACAGGGAAATGCAGATGACCTACGTTCTGATGAAGTGCAACTCAGAAATAAGAACTGAGTCCAGAACTGCAAACACATTTTTGGTGACATATCACCAAATGGTTTGCTTTTCTCTCCAGGGAAAAAAAACATTTCAAAAGAAACATGAACCTGATTAGGATAAAAACCAGTATTTTCCAAACAAGTGGTACAGAACAAAATATTACTAAACATATGAAGATTTCAGACACAAAATGTTCAAGGGGCCACAAGTACTGTGGTGTTGGGACATACTGTACTTTGAATACATCATCATCTGCCAAACCTTACTCATGACATGACTGTGAGTCACTATACACCACATACTCCCCATATACTACACTGACCTAAATTTCTGTTCATTGATTTCAAAGCATTATATGAAAACATGTTTTATATATCAAGTGTACATATTTTTTCAAAGCCTGCTTGCCTTTGTTAACCATCTGAAGACCAAATCTCCTTCAGCCAAAAACATACTTTGAAATCAAACACTTTTTTGTAGGCATTTCCCAGTAGGGATTTGTGAAATGGGCCGATGTTAAGCAGGCAATATAACAATAGAAATACAAAAATAAACGACATAAGCTTTATCTAGTTGTATTTTAATCCAGATTCACACAGTTGGTTCAATAAAGAATATCACCCCTAGCATATACTTGCCTCTCATATCATTCCTGGATCATCACGGCTATACCATCACTCTAAAACGACTACTACATTAAATAAAGCTTTTAATAAAGTGGTTATTTTTCTTTCTTTTTTTTCTTCTATGATAAATTTCACTCCCAGTAACTCCATTAAAGGGACAGTGCCAAACTAAAGTGAAGAATATATATATGTGTGTGTGTATGTATATATATCTGTATGTATATGTATATGTACACACACATTTATATACTAACGATGTTATTTAGTAACCTGTGCTTGAGTCACACTGCAATTTTTTGTGATTCTTGCAACCTTGTTTTTTCTACTTTTCAAATGTGTTTTCTCTATTTTGTTACTTTGTAAAAGACTCAGTAACAGAAAAACTGATTAGAGACACAACGGAACTGATTATAGCAGATGCTGTCAAATACACATAAAATAAATGTAATACTAGAGAAAAAGATTTTTTCTCTCAGACATTTTTGTGCTACCTACAACATTTAAGCTCTAACTTGTTCTGCCCCCTTAAATCCCTCCCTCCCCACACCAAAGCATAAGAGGAGAGTAAGAAGCCCACTTATCCTATGCTGGGCTACCCAAATCTTAGGTCTAGATCAGGGGCGGGCAATTATTTTGGGCAGAGGGCCACTTACTGAGCTTCAGCAAGCCATCGAAGGGTGCAGCTGAGGGCAGATTAATATTAATTTTCTAAATTTTTTAGGGGCCCCATGGGCCAGATAGAATGGCCTGGCGGGCCACATCTGGCCCCCAGGCCGCATTTTTCCCACCCCTGGTCTAGATGCACATTAAATCCTCCCTTGAACAAATGTGCTTGGACTGGGTAGACTCTACATTTTACTACTTGGCCAGCATGGGTGCTTCTACACATGCAATTAGAATGTAGCAATAAACTCTAGTGCAGTTTGTGGCAGAGTTTATTGCTCCCAGGGGCAGTGTTTATACATGTGCTGGGGACTGCAGCATGTTGAGACAAGGCAGAGTGGGCTGGCAGGAGGTCGGGGGGGGGGGGGGGGGGGGG